TATGTCAGAAAAGAAAAATAGGACCAAAATTTTCCATCGCGGTGTTAAATGAGGTTAGCGATAATTTATTGGATTTTTGGATTTCAGATTCCATTTTGAGCACTGTTGACAACTCAAAACACACAATAAACGTGCACTGTGTAACTTTTCGGTTGATGGTCTGTCACCTGCTTGTTTCTATGGAGATGTCATTGCTTTGCCTGGAATGTTCCACAGTATGACATTAAACAACTCTACCTAACATTTATTCAATTACAGTTGGTTTAAAATACTTAGAAAAACTGAGCAAGGTCGCCTCTCCACAGATCTGACCTCTAACTTGGTCTGGTTTGGTCTTCATGAAGTTACAACAGTTTAATTCCATACAGTCGTCCCTCGTTATATCGCGGTTCACCTTTCATGGTCTCTCTGTTTCACAGATTTTTTTTTGTGTGCAATTTTGCATGCTTTATGAACGGGTATTGTGTATTATGGACGGGTAGTAATTACATACAGGTGGGTTAGAACTAAACCAGGTCTAAACCAGGACTAATCTTGGACTTAAGAGAGAGAACCCCAAGCAGTCTGTCCGCAAAGCACGATCGGGCAATTGCCGCGTTTACCTCCATGAGGTGCGGAGCTCTCCCTCGGTCCTTTCTCCTGCGTCACCTCCGAACCTGTCCCGACAGTGAGTCCTGATTCAGTTTGGTGCTGTACTGTGCAGGTGCGGTGTTGTACTGCGGGTCTCCAAAAATGGACCCATGCAGGACTCTGCGCTGTAGGCTCCATTACAGAATACATTTATCTTCGGTTTGTTACATAAAGGAGGAAAATAACAAAAGGACAACAGCAGCAATAAGTTTTAAGAAGAATGCAAAAAGGTTTGCACCGGTCCTGTGTGAGAAAAGTGTATAAAATGTGTGGTGAGGAGTTTTAGAGCCTTAAACAGATATAATAATTGTAAAATATAAAGCTGACTATTTTGTGGATTTCACCTATCGCAGGTTATTTTTAGAACATAACCCTTGCGATAAACGAGGGACCACTGTACTGCGAAACATTTTAGACAAAGTAATACCATTCCACAGAGAAAAGCATTTGACACACTCTCCACCAGAAAAGTTATGCAATGCACCTTTAATAGAAACAGTATTCTATCTCTGTCCTTGCTTAAACACAATCACATGCAAAAAAGAATGTTCAGTGCTTACTAGATCTTTTACAAAACCACACTTTTAGCTCAGGTGCCAGTTTTACAGTTTTTTAACTATTATCAAAAATATAACAGCAACAGCAGGTTTACACCATAGACTGTATTTATAAATGCCGCACAAACCCGGAAGACGTTCGAAAACATGCTGATGGCGACTTCTTTTGGGCTCCGCTGGGGATGGGGTTCCGGATTTCTTCATCTAGATGTCATTGTATTCTTTCTTTTTCCTTTTATAAACTGCCTTTTAATTTGTGTATTATAATTTGTCTGACTTAATAAAAAAGATGTTATTGAAGAGTTCCGTTATGTTCAGAAGATCAACAGTTACATCCAGCTGCCTGTAAGTGACATCGATGTGATTAGAGTCACGTCCCCCATGGAAAGCTTTGGCAGGTTTGGCAGGCAGACGGAGCAAACATCATTGGGAAGAGGAAAACAAACACAGTTGTTGAATTAAAGAGGCAATTGAAATACAGAAACATGCCCACGGGACTATAAACCGGGACGAGGGGGCTTTTTTACTCTCACACACCTGGGGTACTGTCCTAAGGAATTTGGACTGAAGATGGCGCTGTCGTCCCGCCTCCACCGGAAAGAAGACAACGCCAAAACCTGTATAAATTAGCAGACCCGTCACAGCAACATCACGTGACCACTCTGAGGACGAGCGCTAGTGAGCAAGTACTGTCACGTATGAAAACAAACCCTTGGTCTGAAAAAAGAACCTAATAACATAAATGACGCTGCTGCTTGTTCCATGGTTTTATCACATGCCCAGTGTCGATAACTATATCAGAAGTCATCATCCGCGTGTTTCCAAACGTCTTCTGGTAAGCGTGACTAGAGTCTATTGATTTTGAAAAATTGTCACCCCTCTCTCTGTAACTGATGCAGCAAGCTAATCAGGAAGTGTGCGGCTAGCATGCTAATTAGTTTAACCGTGACAGCAAAAGATGAAAAGGGCTTATAAACACACTGCACTGAATAATTCAAATACTCAGAATACATAAGGTAAGTGAGGAACAACTTTAGACCACTGCAAACTGTGTAAAATGAACCTCATCGTTTTGGTCTTACAATGTTCAAATTTCAATATTTTGTCCGTAAATAAATTCCTGTTCCTAACATGACCCTTGTCTCCATATTCAACCCATAACTGCTAGCCTCTTGAGCTTCATTTGACTGGAGCTGTACACTATGGGTGACATCACACTCCCTTAGACTACGTTTACATGATGACGATCTGAACAGAAGATGCAAAAGTGGAAGAGTGTGGAATTCCACTGGGTATGTTTGTACTTAAAGCAAAAAGGGCGTCTTTGCATTTACGGAAGTTTTCACGCAACGCATTTTCATCAACTACTATTTCCACAAAGTTCTCCCTGGTCTCGTCCATATCCGTCTGACTCGCCTGCAACAAACTGGTGCATCCAGAATTAGACAGAGGTGATTACAGATCCTTCCCTGTTCACTAATAGTATCTGTAGATTCTGTACATTTGTTGGGAGCCTCCTGTAAGTTTATTAGAGCTGCTCGAAGGTCCGACATTTGGAAATGATCCGACATGTTTGTTTCTGTGTACTGTATGTATGTGACGTAAACGTGTACGCGACGTGAGCAGATCTGACCAAAGTTTTGCGTCTTGGGCAGTGTAGACGGAAACGCTAGGGCGGATCATATTCAACCTTTTCAGATTTTTGCGTTTTTAAGCCCCAAAAAACACCATCACCGTCTAAACAAAAGGCACTTCCAGTAAAATATTTTGTTGCAAGCATTCTCAGGCCCTTATTAGTCCACTTCTTTACATAGTGTAGGTTTATACACTCAACACTGACTTTTAATGGCACTTTGGTTGGTTGTAGCTGACACCCTCTTGCTTATTCATAATTTGTGAATTCTGTGAACAAATTCTAACTGCTAAGATATAATTTGGTCTTGATTTGTGAATTGCACGCTTCTAACTTCCCATCATTCTGCAACCCATGGATACTTGGCAAATCCCCTACACTCTCCATCCAAGCTGATGAACATATGACAAGAGGAAGTAACGCCGCGCTCCTCTTTCTCTTTCCCTCTATCTGTTGCTGAATGTGTTGCCATGACAACACTCTTACATCCCCAGCCGGTCAGCAGTGCGGTTTGAGTAAGCTATAGCCGATGTGTGTGTAATGGAGTGGACTCATTTGGTCGCAGAAACTGTAATTTTGACGACAACTTTGGGAGTCCTTGGCGGTCCTTCCTCCCACTGCGAGTGTCTGGCCCTTGCTTCGCCGTTGCAGTAGACAGAATTCATTGGAGCTCGAGAAGATTGATTTGATTTGAGCATTTTAAACTTGGGTGATGAAACATTTGCATGGCAGTGTGGGGAAAAACTGCTCCAGATATGGGTGATTAAAGCGGGATACAGTTAACCTTTCAGACTATCATTTTGCCATTTTGACGGCTGCAAATCAGATACTCACAAAATATCAGCTCTTTCTTGAGGAAGATACAGCTGCAGTGTCTGTGGAAAGGGCAGGGCAGTTTTCTCTTTGTTTTGATGGTTAAAGGTCCTACATGACACACAATTTACTCTTGTGAGCTTTAAGTCATATTGCAATGCTGTTACCTCATCACAAACATACCTGGAGTCTACATCTTAACAATAACAATTACCTTTTACCCTTTGTTCAGTAGAGATTGGCAATTCCAGGGTTGAAATTATCCAAATAGTTTTAGTGAAGATGTATGAAGTTTAAAAACACAATGGAGCTCTTTCTGTATTCCCACATGACATCACGAGGTGGAACAGTGTTTTCAGTTTGATAGAAGAACTCTAAATAAGGAAGGTTTGTGCATTAAACAAGTGTGAATGAAACAAAACGCAACTCCGGGTATGTTTGTGATGAGGAAACTTCAGAAAATAGTGTAATATGGGCCTTTTAGGGCCTGTCCACGCAACAGAATGTTTTGGTCAAAACAGTGAAGTTTGTATTCGTTTTGGCTCTTTGTCCACACGGAGCTGGCGTTTTGGGTGGGTGAAAATTATGTTTTTTGAGAAATGGGTTCCAGAGTGGAGAAATCTGAAAATGCCGGCGTTGCGTTGTTGTGTGGACAAGCAAAACGCAACTTTTGGAAAACGATGGCGTCACGACCCTGTCATCGCCAGGGTCCTCTGATGCAGCGAAGGCTCCAGCCCTCGAACTAGCCTCCGCGGACTACAAGAGCGATGCCGAAATGGGACAGGTGTAGCCTACAGAGCTGCTCCTGTCACCCAGAAAAAAAGACACTGCTAGGGCCAATACTAACAACACGCACCACGCAGATTACGCACACGGATAAGTAAAAAGATTACGCATTAAACTGTTGCATTTTGAGACCAAGTTAATCTAATAATTCTCATCCAAATCTTATGGCTAAAACAAAAACTTATGTTTAGCTTTTGCAAAACAAACAGCTATATTTCTGGGATACATCTAAAATAGACTAAATTACCTTAAAATAATAAAAAAAAACGGTGATGAGATGTGCATTAATAAATATGATCATTGTTAACAGCGCCACATACAGGTGTGGCAGATGTATTACATTGTTTTCATTCAGTGCTCCGTTGTCGTGTGGATGTGAATATTTACTGATCCGGCACATGTGTGGATGCAAATTTTTTTCAACCCGCAAAAATAAAATCCAGGAGTGTTGTCGTGTGGATGTAGCCTTAGTCTCTCTTTTAAGTCTCTAGGTCAAGTTACACGTAAGATCTATGAAGAGGCAAACCCGATCACACTGAAAACACATGTCTTTCGAGGCATTTGTGAGCAATAAAAACACCTTTCGTTGAATAAAAATATATGTTTAATTTAATGCCATATAACGTGGAACATTTCAGGCAAAGCAATAAAAGTTGACTCTTACACAATCAGAAAAGCGACAAAATGGTATTGCATAGAATGATTTTGGGTACAAGTTCTCTGTTGTGTTGTATTTGATCAATTATTTGTTAAGTGGGAAAAAAACAAGAGAAACATGGAAGAGAAAAATGTGGATGATGAAAAAAGGCCAACTTGGGCACAGAGGCTTGTAATACACTAGGATGCTGAGGTTGAATCTGACAACAGTGGCTCAAACTGCATATTGTATTTAACACAGTAGAGTGTGAAGGTATTGTTTTTTATTGTTTTTGTTTTTTTGCTTTGAGAAAGTGCAGAATATAAAGTCACTTTTAAGACCAAGTTAGTAATAGGAGAGAGAGTAATATACTATAGACTTATCATTGTAGTTTTATGATTTAGTTTAATATAATGATGTGAATCCTAGGGGTACACAAAAATATCAAAATGACGATATATCGCATTGTTGAACGTGATGATACAGTATTAGTAGTATCGTGGGCTGTAGTATAAATATATCACCAAGCGTATTTTTTGGTATATTTTACAGAAATATTTTCTTAAAGCTACAGTTTTGTTGTTTGTTTAGAGGAAAGAAACTCATTTATGCGACACATTTGACATTTTCAGTTTTTACGATTAAAATGTTTGTGTTTCATATGAACTTTGCACAAGAAGTGGTTTAATAAAGACTTATAGTATCACGGCCATGATTTAGCCATTATTTTTTATTGAAACAGTTTGAAAAATATATCGAATTGTATCGAATCGAAAGCTCACTGTATCGAGGTATGTATCGTATCGGCTTAATGATACCCAGCCTTGGTGAATCCCTACGTTTTGCAACCAGCCATAACGTTGTTATCTCCTTAAGAACATACCCAGAGTTGTCCAAAGCTCAGAATGCTCCATGTTCCAAATGTTCCACCTTGTGATGTCATGTAGTGGTAGTTTTCAAGTTAACAGCTCCTGTTTACCTTCCGGAGAGATTCTGGCCAATTCCAGGGCTGAAATTGATCAAAATGATTCTAGTGAAGATGTATGGAGTTTAAAAACACAGTGGCGACTTAATTGTTTAGCCACATGACATCACAAGGTGGAACACAGCTTTCACGTTTGAGAAAAGAACCCGGCCTAAATATGTAGTTTGTGTGTTAAATATGTGTGAATGGAACAAAATGAAACTCCAGGTATGTTTGTGATGAGGAAACAACAAAGAAAACTGCAATATATGCCCTTTAAATATTGGGGACTGTAGTAAACGCTGTGTCATTGTGGTTGTGACAGTATCAAGGTTACCACATTTTAAAGAAAAGAGAAGAAAAATAATAAATTAGTACACAACATTTTAAGAAATTCACATTTTTCTCACAAAAAAATCCCATTTGTAGTAGCTGTGCCGATGCTCTAGGTCTGTTGTAAACAAATTTATTCAGCAATACTGTGAGAGAGACAACATTAGTTTGCTACACTGAATTTTGCAATAATGGTACTTTTATTCGTACTGATAATATTCTGAAAAATCTGAGTATTCTTGATATAAGGCAGTGATTGCTTGAGGCTGGTATTAAAGTTAATCATTGAGGTCAGTATATGTAATCTCAAGTATCAAGTTTGGACATTTCCTGATTTATCCTTGTAATAGTTTCTTCAAGTCCTGCTCGATCCCCTGTGTTCTGAGCTGCTCCAGGCTGTAGTAGCGGTGGGTGACCTCTCCCTCGGTCACCACCACCACCCGGACCCCGTGGGTGTCGTCCCCCAGCTGGCACCCCACGGCCGAGCTCACCACCACGTCCAGACCGCCGTGGCACCCTCCGGCGTTTCTGTGGTAATGTCCGCAGAAGACCGCCTTCACCCCTGCGACACGGGAGACAACGAGACAAGGAAGTTACTCGATGTATTTCTATTAATTGCAATTTTGTTTTTGTTTTTTATTTAAACTCTGCCCACAAACATGTTTCAAATAGAGCTGGAAAATGACTAAACTAAAAGAGCGAGTGATGAAGGAGAACGAGGTCTGGAGGACTAAAGGGGAGAGTGGGGGTTGGAGCAAAGGTGAGGTCTGGAGGACTAAAAGGGAGAGTGAGGAAAGAGGAGGGATCTAGAGGACTAAAGGGGAGAGTGGGGGTTGGAGCAAAGGCGGGGTCTGGAGACTAAAGGGAGAGTGAGGAAGAAGGAGGGGTCTGGAGGACTAAAAGGGAGAGTGATGAAAGAGGAGGGATCTAGAGGACTAAAGGGAAGAGTGAAGGTTGGAGCAAAGGAGGGGTCTGGAGGACTAACGGGAGAGTGAGGAAGGAGGAGGGGTCTGGAAGACTAAAGGGAAGAGTGAATGGGGAGGAAGGGTGGGGTCTGTAGGACTAAAGGGGAGAGTAAGGGGAAGGAGGGGCCTGGAGGACTAAAAGGGAAAGTGAGTCGAGGAGGGGTGGGGTTTGGAGGACTAAAGGGGAGAGTGAAGAAAGAGGAGGGGTCTGGAGGACTAAAGGGGAGAGTGAGGAAGGAGGAGGGGTCTGGAGGACTAAAGGAGAGAGTGAGGAAAGAGGAGGGATCTAGAGGACTAAAGGGGAGAGTGAAGACTGGAGCAAAGGCGGGGTCTGGAGGACTACAGGGGGAGTGAGGAAGAAGGAGGGGTCTGGAGGACTAAAAGGGAGAGTGATGAAGGAGGACAGGATCTGGAGGACTAAAAAAGAGAGTGAGGAAAGAGGAGGGATCTAGAGGACTAAAGAGAAGAGTAAAGGTTGGAGCAAAGGAGGGGTCTGGAGGACTAACGGCAGAGTGAGGAAGGAGGAGGGGTCTGGAGGACTAAAGAAGAGAGTGAGGGGGAAGAGGGGCGGGGTCTGAAGGACAAAAGGGGAGAGAGGAGGAGGAGGAGGGGCGGGGTCTGGAGGCCTAAAGGGGAGAGTGAGGAAGGAGAAGGAGTCTGGAGGACTAAAGGGGAGAGTGAGGGCTGGAGCAAGAGTTGAGTCAGGAGGACTAATGTGGGGAGTCAAGGCGAGGAAGAGTGGGGTCTGGAAGTATAAGGAACAGTGTGATTGGTCTACCAGGTATCCACATTTTAATCTCCGTCCCTGCAGCCTGGTGTTTGTGATCAGATCATGTGATGTTACATAGTACTTGAAACTGCAGTGGCCAGGGCAGTAGCAGCACACACTCTCACTTACAGTTATTGACTATTCTGACCAGAAAGCTACTATTAAAATACCATGTACACAATTTATAAGGTTGATGTGTTGTTTTATTCAGCTTTAATTTAACTGGTATAATCTAAAATGATATTGTAATAAAAAGGAAAGCAGAATATAAATGTTCCTGTCTGTAACAATTCAAGTGTAAGTAATAACCACTGTTCTTCTGTTTGTACATTTCCAAATTCCATCAAAATGATACGAACGGTTTTGAAGTTTGATTTGTGGTTGAGTGCAGCCTGGTGCCTGGTGCAGTCACTTCAGTGAATCCTCTACATTTTAAAGGCTGCACAACAAGCCTCACTTTGAATGAGAACAGGGAAGAAGCTGTTCCACCAGCTCTGTCAAATTGTGAATGTGAATTTGTTGTTTTGCTTTGGAGGAAAACCAATTTAGACTTTGCAACAAGTTTGTTATTTTGGCCAGTTTCACTTGTAAAATGGAAAACAAACAGAATCCTCGTCAACAAGGAAAAAAGAAAGATAGTGAGGAAAATATTCAGGTTTCAAGTCAAGACCGCAACTAATGTATAATAAATATATAGCATGCCTGTAAATTCTTTAAAAGGTAATAGGAACTTGATATTGTAACAGATGATCCAACTCATATTACGGCAATTTTACCTCAAATACAAAAATTCCCATGTGTAAAAAGGCCTATTCTGATCCTTGATCCTGGGAGTACTGTAGTAGGATAACCAACCAAGCTGGGGTTACTGACTTTGTGACTTTAGTTGCGCGATGTCTGTCTACGGTCCCTGCTTTTCTTTATCCTCTGAAAATCCTGCATGTGAATACTAGCGATGTGCTGAAGCGTTTGTGAGAGGAACTCGTGAGATGATTTTAAACACTTATGTCGTATAGAGCCTTCCAGGAGTGATGGGTTTAGAATTGTTGTGCACACATCCTGATACTGATTCTATTCCATTAATTTTAATGAGGTGTCAAAAAAACAAAACATTAATTCTGACGTTTGCAGAGAGCGCAGCTTTTCCGATGGAGAGTCCCCTACCTGCTTGTCTCTATGGAAATGTTATTGCTTTGTCTAGAATGTTGCACAGTATATATTAAACCTAATCTATCACAAAGGAGACAAGCAGGTAACAGCGATACTACATTACAGTTCAGATCTGTGGAGAGTCGCCCCTATTCACAGAAGGAACAAGCGCAATCAGAGATAGCAACCTGGTCCCTCATAAAGCATCGGTGGGGTCAGTTCATCACCACAGAAGCAGTTTATGAGGAGCCCAGCCCATATTACATGATCGTTATATCTACAATGTAATGTGTGTATCTGTACAGGCCCATGAACATGTGTGTGATATTGGTCACACATGAGAATATCTGTGTTTACAATAGCGTGTAACCAAAATGTCATTTTTTTTCATGAGTTGTGTATATGTTAGTTCTGTGGCTGTAGATCAGTGTGTTGTGTATCACCAGAAAAAGAAGACATGGAAGTTATTTTTGTTCCAATTAGATTTTTAACGGCATACACTGAAGGAACTGTTATAATTAGTCATGATCTCAAAAACTATTAATATTTTACTCTACAAATGCACAGAATTATAAATAGATCATAATTTTTCTGAGATTTGGACACCACTCCCGTTGCTCTAGCTCGATGCTTTGCGGAGTTCTGACCAAAAACACATATTTGACCTTGATTACCTTGACTTTCAAGTGACCTTGACTGGTTTCAACCTGTAACATCCAGTGAACCCCGGTTATGTGTGTGCCAACTTGTGTGATGATTGGTTGGTTGATGATTCAGAAATTGCTGAAATTGCCTGTCCTTTATAATGGTGTGACCTTTCAATTGACCTGTGTGACCTCAAATGACCTTGGATCGTCACCAAACTTTTTTTTGCAGCATCAGGCACGGGGGCTTGACCCACGTACCAAATTTGGTGACAATCGGTCCATAAATGGTGGAATTATCGCAGGTGGACAGACACACACACACACAGGGTGAATATAAAACCTGGTCAATCCTTCAGGGAACAGGTAATTATTATATTTTTGAGCAACAGAAACACACTTAATCAGTAAATGCTAGACGGATATACTGTTTTTGATGTCATACCAAGGAACATTCTAGGGAAAGCAATAACATGGACCCTCTACCAGAAAAGTTATGCAGTGCACCTTTAAATGTATGATGCATTTGGCACTAGGTAATTATGGTCAATATCCAATTTCCAGCTCCAGTTTCTAAAGTTCACTAATGTTTACAGGATTTGATGAAATAAAACAAAAAATTTACTGTTCAACTGTTGTGGCTTGTTATATTTTTGGTGCATTATTGTTCAGGATAAAATTTAAGATTGAAGATTTAAAAAACAAGGTTGTTAGCATGTATGCTAATTTTTAGTGCTAATCGCCAACGTTAATGATGTACGCAAAACAAAGCAACATGTGATAATACTTTCCAACAATGCTTTGGTATTTGTGGTTGAGTGGCTGTCAGTCGTAAAAATAGCCTTGGGTTTTCATAGTTTGCGATGTTTGGAAACTAACGCCAACTCCCCCATTAAAAACGCATTGGAGCTAACGTACGGTACAGCATGAGCAATTACAATGCTAGCGTTCTGTTTGCAAACACTGGAAGGGGCTAATTTTAGAAAAGAACGAAAGTACAATAGCAAAAGATTTGAATAAAACAGAAACGAAAACGATCATGTAATGTTACTAGGAAAACGATGTAACTGCTGTTGCTACTACGGATGTCAGCGCCGTGAAATAGACCCGAATCATCACTACACATAATCAAACTGTGGCCCAAAACAAATGCGACCTAAATCTGTATTACCAGTCGGAGCAATGCGAGGACAGTGGCGGGTGCATACTCTGGTCTCATAAATAATTCATGGGGAGAAGATAAAAATTGACGTTTTGGGACATGTGTATTTATACAGTGGGCTGAACTCATTTACAGTCCAGACCTGGGGCAGTTCTGTCAGGACCACTTGTGACAGGCTGTCCAAGAGTGTGGCTATTAATATGTTTGTGCAACTGGGGTAAATTGCTTTTCGGATAACGTTTTTGCATAAGGTGAAACTGAAAGTGCACACAAATAAAAACAAGGCTGCTCCTAAAGGCTTCCTATATGTAAGCTACTGTCATGGTTACGATAATAGTAACAAAGAAGCAAGAATACACGTCTTTTGATTTAGTCTGAATGGCATTATTTGTGGTTGGTGATCTGCAATCTTTTATTTTAATTTTAAGATTAGGTTCAAACAGCAGATGAAGCAGATTATTTTAATTTCACGTACTAAAAGCAATGCTCCTGTTTTGTTTTGTACGGTTTGCAGTGGTCCAAAGTGGTCCTCGCTTACCTTATTCATTCATAATTATTCACCGTGATGAGTTTATAAGCAGTTTCACAGTTTTCAGAGACAGAAGAGAAGTTTTGGCAAACTTAGACAAAGCTAAAAACCACCTGCTTGCTAACCGTGCACTTCCTGATTCTTGGACAATAAAACGTTTTATGCAGACACGTGCAGACACTACACAGCGGACTTATTTTGACCTCAAGAGTTGCTAATACAAAAGATCTGTACCGGGTCAGACATATTTTGGTCAAATACATGGGAAAAAAAAAATCAGATGCGAAAATGAGAGCCTTAATTCCAAATAAAAATAATTTAATTAAAAAGACCATGTAAACAAA